CTGTGTACACCCGCAGGTCCTTCAGGACAGATGTGCCCTGTGTACACACCCTGCAGGTCCTTCAGGACAGATGTGCCCTGTGTACACACCCTGCAGGTCCTTCAGGACAGATGTGCCCTGTGTACACCTGCAGGTCCTTCAGGACAGATGTGCCCTGTGTACACCTACAGGTCCTTCAGGACAGATGTGCCCTGTGTACACACCCTGCAGGTCCTTCAGGACAGATGTGCCCTGTATACACACCCTGCAGGTCCTTCGGAGATGAGGGAAGGGGAGGGTGAGTGACCTGTGCCTTTTCCAGCACTCAGGCCAGCCTCCATAGCACCATGGCCAGGATGGATCAGGCTGTAGCCCGGATTCCCAGCCTCAGCAACCGACTCAGCTATGCTGTCCGTAAGGTCCATACCATTAAGGGTACGTATAGCAACTCCGGGGTTTCCAGCCTGTCCCCACCGGCCCAGACCCCTTCCTCTTAGCCCTAGATCTAACCCCATAACTATCCTCTGTTGCCTTGGTAACTACCCCTGCCCTGCTGCACCCCTGCCCTGTGCTCTGCCCCGCTGTCCTTCTGTCTGTGTAAAACCATCTCCCTGTCCTTTGCTTTTCCTTCTCAGGTTTGATGGCTCGAAAGCTGTCGCTTGCCCAGCTGCGCCTGGAAAGGTAAAGGATGAGGTGGAGGGTGTGTGATGTCGAGGGTGGTCTGGGACAGGCGTACCGAGGTGGAGGGTGTGTGATGTCGAGGGTGGTCTGGGACAGGCGTACTGAGGTGGAGGGTGTGTGGATGTTGTGTGTGGTCTGGTACTAGTTGCCAGGACTCAGAAAGGACAAGGAAGGATGGAGGCACAGGCCAGGTGGCTGCTGAGGGAGTTTTCTCTGACTCTTCCTCATTTCCGTCCCAGCTGTCCCCCACCCCCACCTGCACCCTCACTGGATGCAGACCTGAGCCTCGAGCTGGAGCAGCTGCGAGAAGAACGAAATCGCTTGGATGCAGAGCTGCAGCTGAGCGCCCACCTCATCCAGCAAGAAGTGGGCCGGGCACGGGAGCAAGGTATGGCTGCCCTGGTGGGTGGATGGGCCGGAGAAGACTTGGGGTCTGAAGCTCAGGTGCCTAGAAGCTTTCTTTCAGGGGAGGCAGAGCGCCGGCAGCTGAATGAGGTGGCCCAGCAGCTGGAGCAGGAGCTGCGGTGTGCCCAGGAGTCCCTGGCCAGTGTGGGGCAGCAGCTGGAGGCAGCCCGGCAGGGCCAGCAGGAGAGCACAGAGGAAGCCGCCAACCTCCGGCAGGAGCTGACACAGCAGCAGAAGATCTACGGGCAAGGTGGGCAGCCAGCGTGGCCATGTGCTCTGCCCTTCAGGACGGGCAGCTCCTGACCCCGCCTCCCACCCTCACTGCAGCTCTGCAAGAGAAGGTGGCCGAGGTGGAAACACGGCTGCGGGAACAGCTCTCAGACACCAAGAGGAGACTGAACGAGGCTCGGAGGGAGCAGGCCAAGGCTGGTGAGATATGCAGGGAGAACTCGGCCTCCTAGGAAGATCAGTGTTGATCCCACCGAGACACAGCTGTTGGAAAATATTGAAGGAGTGATCTAACTGTCCTGGAACTCGCTTTGTAGACCAGGCTGGCCTCAAACTCATACACCCTCCTGCCTCAGCCTCCTGAGTGCTGGGATTAAAGGCTTGCGCCACCACCGCCTGGCATAAATTCTCACTTAGTGAGCTGAGCACACTGCAGCTAATACCAGTGCCCTCCCTGGCTCCTGGCCTGTGTCACTGCCCCTCAGCAGACGCCACTGGCAACTGCTGTCACCAGGAACTTAACACGGAAGAGCATGAGCGAGAGGCGTAGGGTGAATGTTCATGTCTTCCCATGTGCCCATGGTCATGTGAGCTGCAGACATGATGGGTCAGCTGCACAGCACCCCACAGAAGGGAAATTCTCTAAGCATGACACCAGTGTCAATTCCATGAGCAGGAGGCAGGGTAGTTTAGGGCCAGCCTGGGCTACATAGCGAGGCCGGTCTCAAAACAACAGCAGCACAGATGACAAGCCTTGTCTGAGGAGCTGCTGTCAGGGATGAGGGTTCACTGGGGTTCACAGAGCCCAGGATCCATGGCATCTGCCCACTCGTGGTGTGGAAGAGACCCTGAGAGTCAGAGCTGAGAGCTCCGTCTCACTTTTTGGGCTCTGGGCTGACCCACTCCCATCTCCTTAGTGGTTTCCTTGCGCCAGATCCAGCACAAAGCCGCTCGGGAGAAGGAGCGCAATCAGGAGCTCAGGCGCCTGCAGGATGAGGCCCGGAAGGAGGAAGGGCAGCGGCTGGCCCGGCGAGTGCAGGAGCTGGAGAGGGACAAGAACCTCATGCTGGTAGGGACAGGGGAGCAGGGACCTGGTAGCTGGTGTGAGTAAAGCCATAGGGGGTGGGGGCGGCCCGCGTGCCCCGGTGCGGCTGACCCTCTCCTTCCCAGGCCACCTTGAAGCAGGAGGGTCTCCTCTCCCGTTACAAGCAGCAGCGCCTGTTAGCCGTGCTTCCCTCGGGAATGGAGAAGTCTGCGGGGTGCGGCTCCCAGCTTGTAGGGTCCCCAGATCCCGAGTCTCCAGCAGCTGCACCTTCCAGAGAATCTGTGAAAGGTAGAATTTCCCGCCGAAAGACCTTCCCCCACAGGCCCGAGCCCCGAAGGCCCTTGGCCGTTGGTCCCTGCTCAGTGTACCCAGGGGCCTCCCTCAGTCCTCCCAGCCAGTGCCACCCCCTGCCCTGGGCCGCACCGAGCCTGTTCTCACCCTGCAATGTCCTCTGTGTCAGGGTCCCTGACTGTTCTGCTCCACAACCTGCAAGGCCTGAGCGAGGCCATTTCCCGAGAGGAGGCTATTTGTCAAGAAGACATCCCGAACCCTACGTGCTGCCCTTCAGACCCCTGCTGCCGGGAGGGGCAGTGAAGCCAGCCTGGAACTGGATCCCCCAGGAGTGCGGCAGGGGCCAGCCTGGCCTGTTCCCCAGCAAACCTTGGGGCCCCAGCTCCCACCAAGTCTGAATTCTGCAATAAATAAAGATGGCTATAGCGGGGTGGATGCTTGGAGATGTCTGGACTCTCCCTGAAGCCAGCTGCTGGGCTGGGGGCTTGAGAAGTGTGGCCTCCCGCCCAACTTCCCCTGAGTGGCACCCCTTCCTAACTACTCTGGAAATGTTTTAAAAAGCTCCCAGGTTTGGGGTTTTTGTTTTGACTTTTGAGACAGGGTCTCCACCTTGGAGCTCACTATGTTTGTATACCAGGCTGGCCTTGAACTTACAGAGATTTCATTTGCCTCCACCTGTCATTTTCTTCCTTCCTTCCTTCCTTCCTTTTTTTTTTTTTTAAAGACATGGTCTCACATAGCCTCCGCTGTCCTAGAACTCACTCTGTAGAACAGGCTGGCCTGGAAGTCACAGATCCGACTGCCTCTGCCTCCCGAGTGTCACTGCCGCCTGGACCAAGTTTTCTTTAGAATTATTTTCCTTGGGTGATGATGAATGCCTGGAACAAAATACTAAACATTCCGTATTCAAGAAGCTTCTCACAGCAGAGGCCTTCCTAGCCCAGGGTCACCGTGACAACGGTGTGAGGAGGGGAGGGGATGCTAGACCGAGCTGAATTTTACTCCAAAGCTGGTCCAGATTGTTATAAAGGGATTTGGGGTGGGTTGGAGAGAGGGCTCTCTTCCAGAACACACAGACGGCAGCTCACAACTGCCCGTAACTCCAATATGGTGGGTCCAATGCCTTCTGACATGTCTGCACTGCATACATGTGGTGCAGAGATACACGTGCAGGGAAAACACCCATTCACGAGGCTGGAGGGATGGCCCAGTGGTTAACAGCACAGACTGCTCTTTCAGGGACCTGGGATCAATTCCCAGCACCCACATGGCAGCTCTCAAGTCTCTGTAACTCCAGTTCCAAGGAACCCAACACCCACGGCAAACATCAATGCACATAAAATAAAAGTTAAGGGAAAAAGAACCACCCATTCACATTTCTTATAAAAAATCTTTGAGGGCTGGAGAGATGGCTCAGCCGTTAAGAGCATTGCCTGTTCTTCCAAAGGTCCTGAGTTCAATTCCCAGCAACCACATGGTGGCTCACAACCGTCTGTAATGAGGCCTGGTGCCCTCTTCTGGACTGAAGAAAGAATACTGTATACATAATAAGCAAATAAATAAATATTTTAAAAGGGAACAGGGCTAAGTTTCCCAGGTCAACCACAAGCAGTGGGAGCAATGAGGAGACTGAGGCCTTCTTAAGGAACCTCTCATGGGGAAGCGGGTGTTTAGGGGTCACAGGGCCCTGGTGCTGAGGAAGGAAGAAACCAGATTACATGGGGGGGGTGAGGGGGAACATCTTCCTGAGCCTTTGGGGTTGATGCAATCGTCTCTGCATGGGGTCAGGAACCAGGATATCCTGGCTTCTAGTCACCCAGGTGGCTCCCTGTGGAATTCCTTAGATGTCACTGCCTGGGAGGTCCCTGTGTAGCTGAAGAGATACAGGTGAGAGAGCAGCCTGCATGGTCCGGAGGGAAGTGGGGGGGAGGAATTCTGAAGCCCTGATGCTAGTCTTGGGGCTGCAAACTGACCCAGGCGTCCTGCCTCCACCTGTAATTACCAAGCTTCCCCACGCGAGGTTTGTCCCCATTTTGTGGCTCTCAATAACTATGAAGGATGAAAGGTAGCCTCTGTGATTACAGAGATGACAGGTGGGTACTGGTGGCTGCAGGGTGTGGATGGAGGAGGTGTGGAAACAAGGGTGGGGCCTCCTGGGGTCTGGGTCACTGATAGGGAGATCTGGCTGATGGGACCTGGGCTGGGGACTGAAGAGATGCTACTGGCAGGTTCCTTGTAAACGGGTCTGACCAGTTGGGCTCTGACGGGGATTCCTCAAGTCACTGGGCTGGCCCCTCCCCACATGCTGGTCACCTCCTCTACTATAAAGCCTCTCGGGTTCTCAAGCACCCAGACTCAGAGCACCCCACATTGGGGGCCAGAAGACAGCCATGATGCTCAACTGGAAGCTGCTGGGGCTCCTGGTCCTTTGCCTGTGTGCTGGAGGTAAGTCAGTCAGGAGAGGCCAGGAGCATAGCTGGGCGACTAACCCCCAAGGAGGGAAGGAGTAGCTGGAACGCACAGAGTTAGCGGGGAAGCTCAGGGAAGGTAGGCAGGGGCAGTTTGATTGTGAATATTCGATTGTGCTGGGTCAGGTGGAAGGTTGTGACGTGGGTGTGTGGAGTCTGTGTGCAGTGGGCTATACCAACCCAGGTTGGACAGAGTCATTTGGAGGCTTGATCATGTGAGTGGTCCCAAGGAGCCCAGGGTTTTCACACAGCATGAAGATGGCTTCAGTATTTGGGAAATGTATGAGGAGCACTTTAGCGGGGGCTTTGGGGCCAGCTCAGGCTGTGCTGGACAGCGCGAGGCTCAGCCTTTGGGTCCGAAACTGGGTGAGGAGCGGTCTGGCTGCATCTGTTTCCTTCCTCCTCCACAGGCATCTCAGGCAGTGAGGACCCCTCTCCCAAACCCACAGAAGCCCAAGAAGAAGAGGACTCTCCAGCATTGCCACTGGGCCCCCCAATCCCTGGTGACCCCTGGCCAGGAGCACCTCCTCTGTTTGATGAGCCTCCACCTCCAGGCCCCAACCGTCCCTGGAGAGATCTGCCTAATGCCGGTGCCTGGCCCCCAGAGCCCCCCAGCACTGATCCCCCTCAGCCTCCTCTGCCTGATGACCCCTGGCCAGCAGGAACCCAGCCCCCAGAAAACCCCTGGCCACCTGCCCCTGAAATGGACCACGGATCTCAGGAGGAACCAGACCTTGACCCGCCCCAGGAAGAGTATAGATAGGGAGGAGCCTCCTCAGAGCACACTCAACCCCACTTCTTTGCTCCTGGCCTCCTAATTTCTTAGCACCCTTCCTAAATCTCTGGTTGGATTGTGTGCAGATTTTCTGTAACCCCCCCTCCCCCTGGCCTTCCTGTCCCGCCCCCCCCCCCCCGCCTTGACCTCCATGTTCAGCCCCTCCCTCTCCCCACCTTGACCTCCATGTTCAGCCCCTCCCCTTCACCTTGACCTCCATGTTCAGCCCCTCCCTCCACCTTGACCTCTATGTTCAGCCCCTCCCTCCACCTTGACCTCCATGTTCAGCCCCTCCCTCACCTTGACCTCCATGTTCAGCCCTTCTCTCCTTGATCTCCATTTTCAGTCCCCACACCCCCCTCACTTGACCTCCTTATTCAGCCGCTCTGCCTTTCTTGGTCAGAATAATATAAAGCGCACTCCTACCTCACCCAACCTGTTCCTGCTTCCTCTTCCCAGGGCGTCTAGAGCTGCACCTCCTGGGAGGGCCTGAGCACTGTGCTCCCTACTGCCACCTGGTGGCCTTAGCTGGGAAATGACAGTTGACCAGGATGGTGCTTCCAATGGAAAAATAAAAGCCGTGTTTTCTTCTGAACTTCTGAATCTAGGTTGCTTCTTCCACTTTTTTTTCTTCAAGACAGGGTTTCTCTGTGTAGCCCTGGCTGTCCTGAAGCTCACTCTGTAGACCAGGCTGGCCTCGAACTCACAGAGATCCGCCTGCCTGTGCTTCCCAGGTGCTGGGATTAAAGGCATGGGCTTCCACACCTGGCTTTAAGATGCATTTTCAATGAGAATTTTGTTTTTAGTGCCTAATCAGTGCTTTTTATCTTTAATATTTGTGTTTTGTGATAGCTGCAATATAAATTTGGTGCTGGATAATTAATGCCTACAAGTTGTGCGAGGTGGCTGTGGTGACACACACCTGTGAGCCTGGCCCTTGGGAAATGAGGACAGAACATTCAGCAGATCAAGTTCATCTGCAACAACATCAAGTTAGGCGTCATCTGGGATGCAGGAAACACTGGCTCCGCCTGGAGAGATGGCTCAGAGGTTAAGAGCACTGCCTGTCGTTCAAGAGGTCCTGAGTTCAAGTCCCAGCAACCACATGGTGGCTCACAACCATCTGTAGTGAGATCTGGTGCCCTCTTCTGAGCTGCAGGCACAAATGCAGACAGAACACTGTATACATAATGAATAAATAAATCTTTTTTTTTTAAAAAAAAAAAAAGAAACACTGGCTCAACCAAAAAGAGGGGGAGTGACTCATTGGTAGAGCGCTTGCCTAGCATGTCCACAGCCCTCAGTTCAGTCCACAGCCAGTCTCAGTGTGAGAACAGTCTGAGCTCCATGGCCCTCAGAGAGATACAGTAACAGGAAAATACAAGAAAGAAATACAATGAAAATAGGCCAGTGCTTAGCCCAGTTATCATCAGGGAGGCTTCCTCCGGCAGCTGATGGGAGCAGATGCAGAGACAGAACCTGTGTGGATCAGTGCTAGGTCCTCTGCCTATGTGTTGTGGTTGTTAGCTTGGTGTTTCTATGGGACCCCCAGCAGTGTAAGTGGGGGTGTTTCTGACTCTTTTGCCAGCTCCTGGGACCCTTTCCCTCCTACTGGGTTGCCTCATTCAGTCTTGCTATGAGGGTTTGTACCTAGTTTTGTTGTGTCTTGTTATACCATGTTTGGTTGCTATCTCTGGGAGGCCTCCTCTTTTCTGAAGGGAAGCAGAGAAGGCGCGGAAGAAGGGGAAAAACCGTCATTGGGATGTGTTGCATGTGAGAAGAATTTAAGAAAAAATAAAGAAGGAAAAGAAAAAGTACAATGAAAAACCTTTCACTGGGGCAAGATTCTAGGGAATGGAGAGAGAAGCTAAAGACAGGAAATCGGTGGGTTTCATACTGGCTCAGAGACTTGCACAGCACACGGGACTGGAGGGTGGCTCAGTGGTTAAGAGCACTGGCTGCTCTTGTAGACGATCGGGGTCCATTCCCAGCACCTAAATGGTGGCTACAACTGCCTGTAATTCTAGGTTCAGGCTGCCTGACATCTTCTGTTCTCCATGGGCACTGCATGCTTATGGTGCACATACATGCACGTATGGAGACAAGTTCTTTCTACAAAGCCCGGGCTGGCCTGGAACGGCTCTGTCAACCAGGCTGGCCTCAAATTCCCAGAGATCCATCTGCCTCTGCCTCTCGAGGGCTGGGACTAAAGGTGTGTGTCAGTATACCCTACCTTTCCTTCTTGTTTGAATTTCTGAGTCTGTTTCTTCCATCTCCTGAGCGTTAGGGTTACCATGGTCACCACCATGCCCAGTTATATCCTAGGGATCTAGCCCAGGGCTTTGTGTACGTCTGCAAGGGAATCTACAATCGAGTTACACAGGCCAGCCAGTCTACCGTCAATGTTACATCCCCAGCCTCCTCCTCAACCCTTTATTTATTTATTATCTATCTATTTATTTATTATTTATTTATTTATTTTAAAGCAAGGGTTCCTGTAGCCCAGGGTGTCCTGGAACTCCAGGTTTTACAAGTGCTGTGATTACAACCTTCCCTGCCCCTCAGACTTTCCAGGGAAGATTTTTCACTGAGGGACATACTCAGCCCATTGGGGGAATAAAAAACAATACTAACCTCTTACAAGAGGGGGCCATGAAAGGGATAAAATAGCCCCGCGGGCCCTGGTGTGGCTCAGTTAAGGAGCGAAGGGCTCTCGATGTCATGATCCACATTGATCCTGTGCTATGCTGGTTTCTGTCTTCCCTTCTCTACTAACTGGGCAGTGGTGGTGCACACTTTTAATCCCAGCAAGTGGATCTCTGTGAGTTTGAGGCCAGCCTAGTCTACAAAGCAAGTTCCAGGACAGTCAGGATTGTTACACAGAAAATCTCTGTCTTGAAAAACCAAAACCAAAACCAAAACCAAACCAAACCAAACCAAACCAAAAAAAACCCAGAGGGCTGTTGCTAGCTTCATATCCTTTTTCTGATCCATTATACTTAGCTAAGAGTTGCTCAAGAAAGCCAGTTCTTAGCCCCATTTCAAAGGTTAGGACACTGGGTTGAGACCAGGTGTGGGCGGTGCATGCCTGCAGATCTAGCTGCTTGGGAGCCTGAGGGAGCAGAACTGAAGTATTGAGACCAGCCTGGGCAATGCAGTGAGATCCTGTCTCAAGGAAAAGGCAGGCAGGAAGGAAGCGAGAGAGGAAGGAAAAAAGGAAAAGATCTAGGGAGGGAGGGAAGGGGGTGGTCGGACGTGAGAAAGGGAAGAACAAGCCGACTACATTGAGCAATGAGAGGTAACTCACCTGCCCAAGACACGCCAGGGCGTGGAAGTCCAGGCCGTGCACTTTCTGGTTCCAGCTCATTCCCAGTTGGACACAGCAGGTGGACCCGTGGGATGAAGGGATGAGGAAACTGGGGGTTTCAGGGGCTATTAATAGACTGTATTTGCATTGACACATGGCGTGTTTTACTAGGTGGGAGGGGACTGAGTGGGACTGGGTGGGGAGGAATCCTTAACACCGGGAGAGCCATTGTGCTGGTCTATGTCACTTCCTCTCTGTGTACCTGGTCTCACCGGCGAGAGCCTGCAGTGGGCACAGGTACTCTTGCGTCAACAGGGAGTCTTGGAATTAAGTGATGAAACAGAATGGCAGATTTGCATAACAATAATGAGGCAGACATGACGGGCAATAAACGCTTAGCCAAGGATGGAAAAGAGTGGTGCTAATTTCATGGGATGATCTAATAATAGAAGCCGAGCACACGAGGAAGCATCGGTGCAGACTCCAGCCGGAGAGCACCCTCCGCGGAGACGGCGAGGAGATGGTGTTCTCCTGCTTTGAAGATCTCAGGCCAGAGCCTCTCGCCACTCATTTGACCCCGATTCCTCCCGCTCAGCATTTCCTGAGCTCCTGTCATGCGGGGTGCGGGTGCCCTGACAGACCCAGGAAGCAATTTCTGTCCTCCCTGCCCTCAAGGAGCTCCGAGCCTAGGGAAAAAATAAACGCGTCAATCGTGACGATGACATTAATAAGAGGTATTCCAGTTAAGCTAGAGAGGAGCCCCAAGCATCCGCCAGCGCCATCCTCACGTTCTCCTGACTATAGGCTTGCTTTGTCGTGGGCGAGGCCTCTCTTACTGCTATCGTTTTTTGTCCCTGTTTTTTCTCTTTCCATTCTGGGGATGGCTCTCAGAATCTCCTCTGCACACCACACTAGTTCAGCGTTCTGCCTTGTGCTACACTTTCTCACCCATTATGGTGTTTATATTTGCTGTTTAAGATGGAGTCTCATTTGGCCCCAGGCTGTCTTTGGATTCTCCTATAGCTAAGGTGTCTTCAGACACATGATTCTCCTGCCTCCACCTCCGGAGTGCTGGACTCACAGCTGTGTGTACATGCACTGCCACCCCTGGTACCAGGCACTGAACCCAGAACTTCGTGTGCACTGAGAGGGTGAGCGCACTACCCACTGAGGCACACCCCTGGACTTCCTCTTATCTGTCCTTGTTGTTGCTAAGGGACGCTTCTGCTCTGTTGCTCAGGGTGGTCTCAAAACCTCAGGATACTCCAGTCAACAAGCGATGGTGGCGGTGGCGCACACCTTTAATACCCGCGCTGGGAAGGCAGAGGCAGGTAGATCTCTGTGAGTTCAAGTTCGAGGCCAGCCTGGTCTACAAAGTGAGTTCCAGGATAGTGAGAGCTACAAAGGAACTGTCTCAAAGAGCCAAAACAAAATAAAATAAAAAGGACAGTCCAGCCTCGTTTGGGCTAGAGCTTGCAATGTACACCATGCAGCCAATTACTCATCTATGCGTTTATTTATTTTGAGACATATTTCACTGTGTAGCCCTGGCTAACTTGGAACTTACTATGTAGCCCAGGCTGACCTTAAACCCTGAGACCCACCTGCCTCTGCCTCCCGAGTACTGGGATTAAAGTTGTGGCCCAGGCTGGATTTGAAGTTGCTGTGTGATGATGACCTT